CTCAAAATTGTATTTTCTGTCCCACTCAGAGCCTGACAAAAGGCTGGTGCAGTAATTCTGGTAGGGGGAGAAAAGGGTTTTAAGTTATGAAAATAGGAAGAGAAGCATATTAAAAATAACTTGATGTTTGTCCCCAGGGCTGCTGTAGGAGCCTAGAATGAAGCCTGTCAAGTTACGGGTTGTATGGTTACTGAAACTGTTAGTAATGGTAAGACCTCAGGAGGAAGATAAAAACAGGTTTAGTAATCTTCAGTCTGATCTGACAGCTAGATACTCTATGAAAGACTTCAAAGAGACAGATTAACCTGTTATTTTGGAGAACAGGACATGTTCTGGTACAGAGCGCATCTCCAAATTGTCTCAGGATGAGATTACTCGCAGGGTTTGTATTATTTTGAGGCCATGTGGCCCAATATTTCAAGAAAAGTTCTGTGGAGGACTATTGACAGTTCAAGAGGACATGGCTGTACTGTTCCTGTGGTGTAGCTACAAAGACGTTACAGATGCTTTAGGGAGAGCAAGTTCAAGTAAGCACAGTCAATAGGAGATGGTGCAAAGAAAACACAGGAGAAAATGGCAAGATAGCAAAATAGTGTATGTCGTGAATTTAGAGATGAAGGGCAGATAGAAGCAGATAAACTTGCTGAGTTCTGGGCTTTATTTCAGTTTGAAGATAAAACAGTTGATATTGTGACTGGGAAACAATTGGTAGAGGATGAGAGAATAAAAAGAACTAAAGGAGAGCAAGAGAATGAATAGAAAGAGATCAGGAAATGATTTATTAGTGTATTTGAAAGCAATCTGTCATTTGTAGAGTGCACGCTCCGTAGGATGAGGTACTGTGGAAGGCAGTAAACCTTCCATCATTTTAGCACAAAGCCTTGGATATTCTGGAATCTAAGGAAGTTCTAGAAAGAATTAGTTGCATAATAAAAAAGATAAGGTTTTAGCACAGTGAAATAACCAATTGCAACTAGTAATGCCATATTCTCTTTCATTTCAGCAGCTTTTTAAGGAATTAAAAATTTGCCCCAATACTATAAGTTTTAATTTCAAGATTAATTGACATGTAGGCCAGAATAATGCTCTCTGTGGAGTTATAGCATATTCAGATTTTCAAATAGGGAAAAATAGAACAGTCTCTGCACTCAGGATTGAAAAGAGGAGTGTGAGAGGCTCTGTACATACATCCTTTGCGATGCATGCATCTCTCATACTCTGAACTAAAGAGGTATCTCCATTTGTTATCCAAAGCATGGCATTTCTCTGACTGTGTAGTTCTGAACATAAAGGCTGCTTTCCAGAGCATTCTGATGCTTTCAATATGCATTTCAGAGTACTTCAGATTGTTGCTAGGTGTTATTTTTAAGGGTTGTAAAAGAAGCTCCATCTCAAAAGAAAGTACAGAAGTCCTAATGCAGACAACACCGTTGGAGCACTGCGTGCACTTTCCAAACATTTTTCCCGCTAACTGCTGTCCTGCGATGTGTCCCGATACAAGCTCGGGGTTAGGTTTCGTTCGGCTAGCCAGGGTAAGCAAAACGCCGGCTCTGCCCGAGCTCGGGACGCGCTTCCCGCCAGAGGGAGCCGGGCGCGCAGCGCACGGCCAGAGCCGCAGCTTGCTCCCGTTGGAGGAAGAGAAGTTCTCATTGTTATTACGCAATCCAGAAGCCGCTGGCAGGGAAAGAAAACCGCAATAATGGCAGTGATCATGTCTTTTTTTTTTTCTTTCTGTATATTTTTTTTAACAGAGCACCGTATTTGGAAGTCTAAATCCATGACACTAAATCCCAGTCTCCGCTACTTTTAACTTAATGGTGTCCATTTTTCATGGGAACTGCAGGATGGTGAGACAGAGAACAAGCAGAAATATAACAAAAACTTTAAAAATGCATATAGTATCATTTCAGGCCTTCTACAGCAATCTTTCCCCAATAACCCCTGCTTTTCCTTTGCTAAAATATGCCAGCATGTTGTATGTGCTTGCAGTCTGATCACTCTCCCAATTCAAGAACAATAGTACCACGAATAGTGTGATACAGCTTTGCTGTAGTTAAGTGAATACAGTAGTTTAAGGTATCCAGCCACATCAGCAGTACGTAACAGAAGTTATACCAGGACTTTTGCTTGACTCTTTCTGTTACTACTTGTGATGGACAGACCAGCCACTTGCATTGCAGTAATCCAGTACGACTCCTTGCAATTACACGTTTAGAAAAATGGAATGTTTGGGGGAAGAATCAATGTTATTTGGCTCTGGTATAACTTAAAATAGGGAGATAATATACAATTACACAGTATCTTCCTAATTATTTTTTATGATGGCTCTGTCACCTAACAAATTGTGTGACTTTTTCTTCCTGTTTATAATGTAGTACTTCCACCTGATTCTGTTTATGGAGTCATTCTGAAAGAGGAAGGTATCTCCTGAGAAACAGTCTTAATTCTACATTGCTTTGGAAAGCTTCCTAGGATTGCATTTCCAGTTGTAAGTCCAAAGGCAATTTGCTGCTTTTACTTACCTTGAAAACAGATTTGTGATTGTGATGTGATTTCTAAACCCTGACAAGTTCTTTGGCATAATCATACACAGTTTCATTGATTCAGTGGGCCTGTATGAATTACATGCAAGGAGAGTATGTTCATTACAGCTCCTTCTAGTGTGGCAGAAAGGCCTTTGATACCATATGAAAAGAAGTTCCTCAGATTTTCCACAGAACATGTGGTATCTTGCACTGGCAAAACTTCCACTGATGTCATTATGAATTTTAACTAATACCGTGTCTTTCAAGATAGGTGGTCAGTTTGCACTACAAGTGACCTTCATACAAGGCACCTGTGTTGTCTAAATGCTTTTTGTGGAGTGAAATAATCAGCAATGAGTAAGCCACTCAGCAATGATTTTAAGCCTCTACTTTTAAGCCAAATTATGATTCCAAGTCTCTTAGTAGAGATTTGAAACAGTAATGCGTTCTGGGAAAAATACTGTGGGGAACTTGTGTAGCACAATTACACCTGAAATGAAAGAACTCGCACAGGAAATGGCCTGGAATCGATTCTTCACGGTCTTCAGCTACAGCTGCAGCTTAGAAGGAGGAGACAGCAGCAAAACACTCAGAACGAAAACCAACTGAATGAAGACCCAAGTATTAAAACCAGTCATTGCAGTATTTGGATATACTAGCATAATGTTCTAAGATTGTATTATGCCTACAATTTTTGAACATGGCAAGTATTAAACTTGAATTTTATAAACTGATTAAAAACTATGAATACAGGGTTCTTAAATCATTGTTTCTTTATAAAGTGTTATTTTAATCCTTCGATGATATTTGCTAATTTAGATTAAGAATATTTTGTTCTACAACTATATACCAATATTCTTGAAGCATTTGGTGACTGTAGATCTTTAGATAGAAGAAGCTGTTAAGTATATTCTTTCCTCTTTGTGACTATTTCCTTTTAGGACAATGACATAAATATCATGATGTGCATAAAATACTGTATTCATAAAATTTCTGTTCTGTTTAATAAAACACTGTAAAATGTAATTTTGCTTTAGAGAGGTGATTTTAAGAACTACAGTATGTGAGCAGAGCTACTAAACAGCAGACCCTCTTTTCTCACTTTCTGTCAATTTACCAGCAAGTAATTTTTTTCTTAGCTTGTGCTCTCATAACAGATTTAGGCAGTTTCAGGTTAGGAAACTAGAACCCATGGAGTCAATATGGACTGATTGAATATTAGTTTTAAATCCTAATTTAACTTGATTTTGACAGGCCACCTTCTCTTCTCCTTGATCAGCCATGTACCCATCCCTTTTTCTAGAAGAAATAAGAATTATTTTCCAGGAAAATCTTCATTTTAAGTTTAAAAAAAATAATTACTAAACAAACAGAAAGTGAAATTTTGGGTAATGTCAGTTTATTCCATTATATGGCCCAGTAAGGACTTCTATAGAAAGGTATATTGCAGATACCATAAATGAATGACATATTATGCATTACAGTAATATGCAAATAAAGTTGATCTTGACAAAAGACAAAGTGAAGATCTAAGTATAAAGGGTACATATCTTCCAAAAAGAAAAAAAATTGGGGGAAATCATCACTTCGATATATATTACACCAATATAAAATAGCTCAGTTAAAATAAGCCAGCAGCAGCATTCGTACCAAGAAGACATTAAACCTGTAACAAAAGAACTGATGTGAAAGTGTAGTTTACATGACCATTTCCTCCAACAAAAAGGCTGATTTTAAGACATGGCCGACTGCATGTTCACACCATGTGTTGCAGTTTGCTGTCACCTCAGTTGTTTTAACATCAGTTTTAAAGGCCATACATAACTATCCTGTATGATTGAACGGATCTAAGTCTTCAAGTAGTTTGGGGGTTTCCTAAGGTTTTCTTTTTTAATTTGGCTCATTTCAGTGACACATTTTAAAGTATGACCCTGCCAACAGTTTTACAAGTGTGAAACTACGAAGCAGGTGAATTGCAGTACAGAACAATATAAAATATGTTTCAGAACTTTTTGTTAACCAACCTTGCAGCTATGAAAAAGATTCGTATAATGATATTGTTACATACTGAACTGTTTCCCAATATTTGTTCAATATAATTAAATAGTATCAATTGCCCCTAAAGATTTCCAGCAGCATGTATCAGTGTTAAACTATGTACTTGATTTGTTACAATAAGCTTTCAAAAAGCTAGCAGGAAAAAAAAACCACAGTGACCTTTATTTGATAGGAAAGTTAACACCAGACTCAGCTCTCAAAGCTGAAAAAAGTGTGTCCTGCACCACCATAAAAAACATTCCGCATTGATTACCAGATATTTCATGTTAAAAATATTAATTTGAATATTTTAAATGGTCTTTAGCTCTGCCATGCTCTGCATTATCTACTTTTCTAGTGAACAAACATCTCAAAGGTGATCAGTCTTAGCTCATGGTGTGCGTTATAAGCAGCAATACAACCGTTCATAACGTAACAGATTTTGTTATTAATCTTATTGCAACAAGATTTAGCGTGCTGTAGTCCTGTTCTTTCTTAAAAGTATGTTTGGCCAATTTTGCCTAGCTCTCTTTCTTTAGTAGCTTACTTGACAAGTTCCATGGGAGGAGTCAATTGCAATGTTGGGAAGTTCTACAATACCTCTAATTCGGTAAAGCAACCAGAAACTTCCAACTGTTTCTGGAAACATTTTCCCCTCTGTGAATAACAGTAGTATTTTTCATATGTTGCCTGTTTCTGCTTTTATGTTTTACTTCAGCAGCATTAAGTGTTACAGCATTTATAATGCAGCCTATGTATTGAGGATGGCTACTTTATTATGCAGCTGATAATTAAAAAATCCTTGAAGAAGAGAGTAATTTCAGAAAAAATATAAGTACTTTCCTTCAGTTTTGCATCACAGAAATAGTAACTTCAGTGCACTGAATTAACTGAATTATTGTACTAGCATTTCAACAGTACTTGACTAGCCAGGTAAGAAATATAGTCATTTTCTCATACTCAGTAACTAATCTTTTATCAGACAGAATACATAGCAAGAAGGGCTTTTAGAAATCATTCATATCATGATCAAATTCTCTTATAAGACCAGTGTAAAACAGAAGTAACTGCACTGCAGTCAATGGAGTTTCACCGGTGTGTAGTGGTGAGCAGTAAAAAGAGAAGCAAGGGTAAAAGGCTTCTAGAATTGTTTCAAGTTTAAAAGACTAGCAGGGTGCTTTTAATCACTTATTTGTTAGTTCTAAAGTAAAATAACTCACTTAAAAAACATGTTTCTAATAATTTACTAGCATTTTGGTGCACATTTGCTTTTCACTGAAGTATACTTCAATGTGGTTGGTTCCATAAGAAAAACAGCTTCATAATGTCATACAATAGAAATGTGAAAACAAAGAAAATTCTGTAAAAAACCTTATGGAATTTGTTCTATACTTGTGCTTCTTCCGTAGATTTTTCTTTTGGTTGTTTCTTTTGAATACAAGGTTGTATAAGTAAAAATACTATTCCCACCATGTATAGCAAGCCAGATATGTAAAAAGAGTAGTCATATTTCTGTGTGATGTCATAGATCCAACCTGCAAAATAAGGACAAAGCATGTTTGTTACAAAGCTTGACAACAACGTACGTTGCATGGGAAAACATGAAAAATACCGCACATTTCTTTCATGACATTTCTGTCAAACCTATAGAGGGGTTTTGCGGAAAAAAAAAAAAAAAAAGAGGTGGCAACTGTCCCCTCCTCTAGATGCTACAAATGGAAATGTATTTACAAAATCCCTTGTTCATTCACCAGAACCCCAAACTAGTGCAAATCCTATTCCCTTCATTTAAGTATCATGGAAGACTTAAAACGGGACCCTAGCTATGTGCCACCCTAAGAAGACAAGCAGCCTTCTCTCTAAAACTGTACATTTTTCAAACAAGTTGTCACAAGCCTGACTTTAAAATAGACATTTTGGAATCCCAAACCAATTAGTTCTTCCACCATGCTACTGTTTCTGTAAAATGCCCAGTACTGCGGTTCAAATGCTGTGCTTTGTGCAAGCAAACGCATTCCCAATAGCTTTCTCAAAGACTTGTATACCAATAAAAGACTTTTCAAAAGATACAGTCTCCGTACTCTCATGCCAACCTTAATTCATCTGCAAAAAATACATTAAAGTTACTTCAAAAAGGTTTGAGGGCCCAACTAGCAAAATTCCCTCATGTCATGCTGGCTGCATTGCAATGTAACCTCAAGTTTAGAAGCTTTTTTTACATCAACTAATTTGCTTTGTTACTAATGCCAAATACAAAGACATGTTCAGCACAGACTGAGAGGTGCTGAAAGAATATATGGTAGAAAAAGTGCTGCTTTTTAATGGGAGTGAGTGAGCTTTCTTATAAATCATGTCAGTTCACTCAAAGGTGAAGAGAGAAGGTGAGAGCATTCTCGCTTTTCTTGGTTGCTTGTGTTTCTAATAGCTTCAGTTCAGCCTCCTGGCATCCCTGGTTGACCATGGCCATTACTCACAAGGTCTCTTACTGCTTTCTTCTGATTTGCATCTCTGTGAAAGATAGCTGAAGTCTGGCTATAGTATTGACAATCAGTACCTGCATCTCTTCTGTACTTCTCCGCCTCTTTCTATGAGAAAATTTAAGAATGTTTGTTTAAGCCTAAGAAACTTAACGGACAACATATATACACTTCTACCCTCTGCTGTGCATGGCAGTAAAGAAATTATGAGCAACACCGTCCCCAAAGGAGATATTTCTGGATGAAAGAAGGCAAAACTAAAAGTTAGTTAAATCAACACATCCATTGGCAGCTTAGAGTGGTGACACCCAAACACACTTTATAGTTCTTAGGGGTAATACTATGGTACAGACACCTGCCTACCTTCAAAACCATTCGTCATGTTTTCATCTAGAGGCATGAGTATGTACAGTGCCTGCACAGCACAAAACGCATTTAAATAGGTTGAACGTTTCTCATTGTAAAGAAGGTGTATGATAATATTTTAAGGAAACATACCATTGAAAACATAGATTGTAATAGATTTGAGGCTATTTGCAAGGATTGTCATTTGTACTATGTGAATAGTGAGATGATACCCAGCAGATGTGACCTGTACATCTGCGCAATGTAAAGCTGGATGCTACCACCCATTCTGGAGCAGCTGTAATTCTGTTAACTACACATGCTCATAACATATGAAAGCTTAATAATATAATGAGTCACATGGTGATTATACAAACATCTGTTGGTCAGCAATTTGAACTTTTTACCTGCAAAGGGTGGTCCAAACAATGCAGATATTCCATTGGCACAAATGATGATGCCGTAAGCATTTGCAAGGTGTTTAGTTCCAACTAAATCTTCAGTCACAACAGGCATTAGAGAAAAATAGCCGCTAGAGAATCCTATTAGAGCACAAACCACAGCTAGGCTAACATACGTTTGCATTAGTGGCAAAGTAAGAATGCAAGTGACCAGAGTAGAGTTAGCCATGAGGAAGACATTCCATGTGCTGACGCATGGGAGATCAGAGATAATTCCAAGGATCACTTTACCAAAAATATGAACAATGGCTATAATGGATGTCAAAGGAAATATATTGTTCTGACTAGACAAGTTGTACTGCTTGACTATTTCTGGAAGATGAATAAAGGGAATGACAAAGCTGCTATAGGCAAACAAAGCCCAAATTATAAAGGCCACAAATACTCTATTCGTAAACAGCGATGCAGCTCCAAAGTAGCTGGAGTACCATATTGCAAAGCCCTTCCTGATTGTAACTGTCAGCTGGCTCACTGTCTTAAGAATGCGCAGTCCATACATGCTCCTTCCATCTCTGGATTTACCTCCAGATTCTATGTGCTGACCACTGTCAAGCACTTCTTCATTTGTTGCCTCTTCTTTTTTTTCTGGTTCTTCACCGAGGACTCCGTTAGATTTTATAGTCTCTGCAGAATGGGACAGAGCTTTTGCTTGGTTATCTTCACTGTTACTTCTCACAACATACTTTTCACTAACTATGTCTTTGGGAAAGAGTGGTCTCATAAGCGCCCCGCAGACACAAAGGTTCAGGGAGATGGCACCCTGGATGAACATGGCGCTCCTCCACCCAAACTCGATGCAGAGGTACTTCAGTAACGCAGTCATTAGGAAAGCTCCAAACCCCGTTCCTGTGGTACTGAGTCCTTGTGCAAGCGCTCTTCTCTTCTGAAAATACTGCCCTACCATGACCACTGCAGGCAGATAAACCATGCCACTTCCAACGCCTATGGAAACAAAACCCAAATCAATCTGAATTTTTTGCTAACAGGATAAAAAGCAGTGAAAAACACATCTGTTTTATTCCCAACTTGTGCACAAGCACAGTGGTGAAAGTGAGAATAAATATTCAATTCTCATGTTAGCTTTCATTTCCCTCTTACAATATTTTCCGAAGTCTGCAATACTCATGCCAGTGAGAACACAATACTGCTATTTAACTGCTGGAAAAACTGAAACAGATGGAAAATAAAACCTTTACATCAGGTCAGCATTACACTGCTGGAAAGTCCCAAACATCCCACAATAAGTCAGTGACAGTTAATGTAGGGGACAATTATAAAACCCTATTTTGAAGTATCTGTACTTGTAATACCTGCATCTGGCTGTATCAGCAACCAGAAATCGCTTAGTGGGCACATCCTGTGCTTTTGCCCAGGTTCACCAGCAATGAAGACCCAAACTGAGTTTTTGTTCTTGCTTTGTAACTGTGGAGCCACAGTGACCATGAGGTGTTTCAGTAGGCACAGGCGGGTTAGCCCAGTGCTGGGACCTTGGGTGCCTTCAGGGTTTCTCTCTGGGCACTCCAGGGAAGTCCAGGCAGAGCGACGCAGTAGCTACACATTCTTAAAAGGCAGATCTCTAATTCTGCAGAAAATCCCTCACTTGTAGTTTAAAAACAGGATATTGATAGTACCCATTTCAAGCAGAAAGTGTTGACAGTTGTGCAAATACATCATTAAAGGTAAGAGTTGCCCAGTTTTTTTCACAGCAAATTCCTGACAGAGAGGATTTGGACATGAAGAGGTGGTAGGCAGAAGGATTTGAACTGGAAGGGGCTTATGCAGAAGATGCTTCCAAAATCACTGTGATCATAATTTAGAAGTGTTTTGGGTTTAAAAGTTTCCCTAAAATAGCTGGTAACGTAGCTGTGTGCATCTACATTGGAGAAAGAGCAGTTTATTCCAGCAAAGCCTGAAAAAAACCCACCTCAACATCACAGCAATGTACAATGGTCAGAGCTGACCTGTTTTGCCTGTTAGAAGTATATACTTCTTTGCTATGTATAGATATGATCAGGTTGAAATAAGCCATTTTTTAAATTCTGTGGACTACAAAGCAAAACATACTCCTACTCCATGCAAAGACATGCCCTCTCCACAGGTAGACACAGGGCCACAGGCCTCCCCACTCCTTTTCCTCACAGATTCGTGACCCTTCATCATCATGGCAGCCTCATGGCTGGCTCTGCTCTCCCTGCCTTGCCCCACACAGGGCCTCTGGACATTTTGCCCCCCACTCCACAGGGATTCCCTGCTGCCAGGGGCTCCAGCACCCACCCGGGGGCTCCCCTGGAAGGGTGATGGGGAAGAAGGCCTCTCTGCCCTACTGCTGCTGCAAGGAAGTAAGCCAATGGAGGTGGATGAAGCAGCTGACCAGCAGGTAAGGAGACAAGGCTGTGAGGAGATGGGGGTGAGAGCCACGCTGAGGTGAGAGGCACATTGGGAATGGGAGCTGAGGCAGCAGGATGGCTGCTGTTGGGAGACAAAGCTGGGGTCATAGGGACATACTGTGTGAGGGCATCTGGCACAGTGTGTCACCACCAAAGAGAACAGGAGCCATGAGTAAGCCCACGAGCACCTGCATGGAGACCCAGAAGTCATGGAAGCAGAAGGTGGCCACCATAAGTGAAGAGCAGCCTTACATCTAGCAACCAGGAGAACACGCAAGACGCTTCCCTGAGGTGGTGGTGAGTGAGGTGACCGTGAGCAAGGGGATGGGAGTGAGTGGGCAGGGACTAAGACAGTGAGTGAGTGAGGAGATCATAAGTGCAGGGATGATGAGTGAGGGGATGGAAAGTGAGGATGTGGTGAATGAAGGTCTCCTGGAGCTGGAAGAAACATCTCAGGCATCTCTACACTGGTTTTATTCCTGCAGCAGCATCTCAAATCTACACCTCATCAAAAAATTTGCATCCGCTTTTTTCTGAAAATCAGGTTTTCACCCCTCTTTAAGTCCACTGTACAATCTCTGCCTTTTTGTCTGGTATTTTGTGTATGATCCTTCTGAAAAGCAGCAAGGCCTGAGAGAAAGAGTGTAGATTCCTGTCTGCTTGATTATATCCTATATATATGGAAGCAGAAATTGCAGAGAGAGCAGAACCCTGCCTGTAATTATTGTTCTTTGCTCAGGAATTTACATTACTGAAATCTCTGGTATGGTGGTATGAAAAGTCACCACAACAATCCTTGCTAGTTTCATTATTTTATTTTTTTCCATCCAGAGAGCTAGATAAAAAATTATGTAAAGAAATTCTGCAGATACCTATGAAATTCTGTGAAAGGATAGTCTGAGGCAGTGGAGGGTACTGAAGCTATTATTAGTATTGCAAACAATTTGTCTTTTTCACCATGCATCTGTGCGTCGCACACAACATAGATACAATGCTTCATTTGCAAACATAACTGGCCATGTTATACGTGGAGTAAAGAGTACCTCAAAGCACCTTAAATGGCTCTGTGTTGCTCAGATTATAATCAAAGGCCAAATTTTGTATTTCTTACTTGGATCACTTTAACAGTTTCCTTTTCTATTAACAGTATAACTTTCCAGTAATGAACAGTGAATAGCATTGTGTTTTAAGTAGATCCTACTGGGTTCTTCTACATGCCCTGCCAGTGACTGGGCTGGGGGTGCACAAGAAGCTGGGAAGGGACACAGCTGGGACAGCTGACCCCAACTGAAGGGACTGCAGGTATATCCCCTACCAGATGGTGTCATGATCAGCAATAAAACTGGGGGAAAGGAGGAGAAAAGGAGGACATTCCGCATTGTGCTGTTTCTCTTCTCAAGTAACAGTTACACATGTTGAAGCTCTTTTTTACTGGAAATGGCTAAACATCTGCCTGCTGATGAGAAGTAGTGAATTAATTCCTTGTTTTGCTTTGCTTGTGCATGCTGCTTTTGCTTTACCGATTATTATTTATTTATTATTATGGGGGTTGGAACTAGATAATCTTAAGGTCTTTCCAACCCTAAGTATTCTATGATTCTACCATTCTATGATGCTATCATTCTATGATTAAATTGTTTTTATCTCACTTTTACCCCTCTGAATCTCTGCTCCATCCCACTGCAGGAGAGTGAGTGAGCAGCTCTTTGAGGCTTAGCTGCCCACGAGCAGTAACCCACAACTCCCTTTAAAATGGGGTTTGAAGCAGTGCATAGTTAGCATAATCTGGTATTTTATTAATGTGGAGCAACTTCCGTAGAAAACATTTGCAGTTTCTTCCTGTGAAGAAGAGGGGAGTTGGCTAGATTCAACACTGCTTCAACATCTTTAAATTCCACTTCTTAGAGTTTGGGTTACATTAAAACTTCTAATTAAAAATGTCCTCAAATATAATCGCTTGGAAGAAACTGATAATACCATCTTTACATTGCAGATTTAAATGACAGCAGAAGTCACTGGCTCCAAACCAGTGAGTAAATAATAAGTTTTTTGAGGCTGTAAAGAGTGTGAAAGAAAAGTTGGACTAACTTTGTAGTGTAACTTCCCTCTTTATGCACCCAGATAACCTTCAAAGGGACGAAAAAATGAAAGAACTTTCAAACACTAGTTCAGCTCTTACCGGCTGTCACTCCAAATGTAAGGAAGAGGTAGTGCACATCTGAGGCACAGGCGCTCAGTATCCAACCTAGGGCATTCAGTATCCCTCCAATTATAGCTGTCTTGCGGCACCCACACATGCTGATGAATAAACCAATGAAAGGACCTGTTAAAAGACATGAGAAAATATTATAATTATTTAATTCTCTATAATGTTTAATAATTTTTTCACAGAAAGACTCGATGTTTTAAACAAAATGTTAAACATCATGCTGCCCATGCAATTCATTTTTGTCCCCATTATTATTTAAAATTGTGGGAAGAAAAATTCGACCAACCAGCCAACCAAATACTTAGAAAATACCCACAAGACCTAAAATCACAGTTGCCCTACAAAGAAGGGAAGACAGAGATGTGTATATGCATGTATGCACAAACATACCCCTCCAGGTATTATTTTGGGTTGATACAACTATAACTTAAAACATAAATTTTAGTTCCGCTGCCAAACTGAAATATAAACTGACCAATCTCAATATCCTCCCAGATAATAGCGCAGGGAGGACCACAGCCTTCACTGATCATCTGTTTTCTTAATTCTAGTGAGACCTTGAAGTCATAGCCGTCCTTTCCTGCTCATGATGTCTCCTGGTATAATTGCCTTCTCTATCATCTTCCCTCTTGTTCCCTTACTCTCCCTAACTTGTAAAATTTGTCCTGTTGACATTAAAAAGGCAACTTGGGCAGCTCTGCAAATAACATGGAAAACTATAAGAAAACACTTGAGGGATGAATGGCAAACATATTCTATAAATCTTACGTAGTTTTGAAATAAATTAGGCTGGAACATACCTACAATAAGTGTAATGCCCATGCTGAGAGAACTAACCCATGCTGTTAAGCCACGACTTTGATTAAACTCTTCAAGCCACTCCATGTTGAGTATTCCAAGGGCCATTTGGGACCCCATGATAAGTATGTGCACAAGGAAAGAAGAAAGCACAATCATCCAAGCCCATCCTCCATCGATGTTTGGATTAGGCTTAATTGGCTTACTTCCAACTTTTGAGTCATCTCCAAAATCATATCCAATATCCTCTCGACTAGCATACATTTTTTCCAAGGTATTCTGAAACAAATGCAGTAAATACCTTCAAAATACATACAAAATGCTCAGATTTTGTTGTTCGGTTATCTTGAATAGCATAAATCACTAACATATTTCACCGTTGTGGTTTAGTGCAGTTGTAAAGCGAATACTGTGTTTTCATTGATTAAACGTAAAATGCTTAGAAAACTCTGCAACTAATGGTTTTTTTTTGTGTACTTAGTACCATGGCTGCCTATGCAGGATTATTAACAGCATGACAACAGGCTGCATTATTTCCATTCTATATACTTAACTTACTTTTAGGGGTCTGAGAGCACTCACTCTTCATGGATTGACAGGTCACAAAAAAGGCTGGTCTCTGTCTGTATATTCCTCTTCTGTATTACTTTCTGTTGTCTCAGTAAGATTTGTATTCAACTTTGTAAAGCTTGGGAAAAAAAAAAAAGAAATCCTGAAGAGGCAGATAGGTGAAGTTATCACCTCTTTTCAGAGGAAACCAGTTTTGAGATGTATTTCTTTCTTAGTAATGGAAGAGCAACAGTGAAGACAGAGAAAGATAAAGATTTAAGGTTCTTGATTTTCAAAATGCTTTGCTTACATAAGTTGTAACACGGGGATTGTTACCACCTCTCTGGCAAGCTTTTCATTACAGTCAGCCTGACAGTTTGCTACTATGCTTTCAGTTCCATAGTTTTAATCCATATAATCCTACTAAAACCAAAGAATTCTTCCAAATCAATGTCAATGCCTATCAGAATCAAACTGAGCGGCAGTTATGTGCATAGGTGGGTGTAGGATCAGGCTGTAACAACTTAATTTGATTACTTTGATTTCTTCCATTGTTACTGTAAGTGAAGACTGCAACACAATGTGAAAATAATTTCAAAACCATTTTATTTGATTAACAGGCAAGGTGCAGAACCCAGTCTTCCCTCCATGCTATTCCTGCTGCAACACATTGAAATTTTACCCAACTGTGGAACACCAAATAGGTTTCCATGGATACTAGAAATGTAACAATACAAATTACCAGAGATGGTAATTTTTTGTCTTCTTTTTTTTCTCCAGAGAAATAAAAAGAGCCATCAGCTTCACAACTCTCAAAAGAGAGAAGAAAGTTGTCCAAAATTGACTAAAAAAGCTCTTTATGTCTTTTGTGAGCCCTCAGAAGGTATGGCTAGTTCCTCACTATTGAAAACTGGTAGTGAATGGAACAACTCAGATTTTGTACTAACTGAAAATCTGGGCTGTTCTCTTTAAATACATGAACATATTTTGCTTCTCAAGTTACTACCTTTCCAAACCATTCTACTTTTTTCTTACTGCTAGATAAACACACAGAGAATGCCTTGAAGTATTTCATACTAATACATCAATGGAGTCAGAGCTGATTGGTCAAAGCTACCACAGAAAATGGTGAAAACCTGCCAATATATGTAACCTTTCCAGGCTGGCTGCTGCGTAAGTTAACTTCGTAGTTAAGTGACACATATATCTTACAGTACAGGTAATTACGTGTAACTAAGGGCAGCTTGAAGATGTAGGTTCCTCCAAGAGCAAACTGGTTTGCCTCATACTGTGGATTGGAGTTAAAATATGTTGTACTCCTGGTATGACATTTTCACAGATGGATACTGCTTTCAAACTAAGGTGTCAGTACTAACTCAGCCATGGAAGGTATCGGTGACACTGAGGAAGAACAAGAACTGCGCACATTTAACATTTGCTGCATGAGCAGATAAACTGGGAGCAACTGTTGTGTCCACACCTCAGTGACAGCAGAAATACACACTGAAATGACTTACTGGCTTTATCTTTCCAAATCAAGAGGCAGAGAGAAGGGGGCTTATATTTAAAGGACTTTATGGAGCTCCCACAGGGTGTTTGAGGCAGGAGAGGTAGGAGGGCAGCAAGCCAGAGCCATGCAGTGGGTACAGGGTTTTTTTGAACATAAGAGGCTGGCCTGGGACAACCTTAGTTAAAATCATACTTCATCCTTCCTCATATGTAGGTCTTAAAGGCGACATCTCAACTCTTTTCTGTTAATGTACTTGCAGCTAGATTGCCCATTGATGTTCAAATGGCTACTTATGGAGGATTCAGCCAACTCACAAGAGAGAGAAATACTAACTGCATAAAGGTAATAAAGATAGTGAATAACCATGCTAATGGGAAGGAATGAGAAGCAGCAGAATGAAGACAAACTGCAAGCTGTTAAACATGCTCTGTGCAAGATTAATGAAAATGTATGATGGATATTACAGTACATCTTAGATAATGGAAAACAAAATTATGTAACTGAAGATTCAGTGTCAGGATTAAATGTGGAGCTTCACCTTTCTCTTTCATGCTTTTGACTGGTTTTGTGTGCACTTGAATACTAATACTGGATACAAAAGTTTCTTTTTTGAACAGGAAATATATATACCTTTAATATATTTTAAATTATTTAAAGCAAAAACAATTGAGATGCAAACGTGACACTCATCTTTGCAATATTACTGACAGAACAGGCTTAGATTGAGTAGAGATGCAAGTTAATGTCAAGCTTGTATCAACCCCCACAAATCTTCAGAAAATGTATGTATTTTCCTTTTGAACTGAATTCCTACTTATTACTACTTTTATACTACTAACTTTCCACTAACATCACAAGTTCAGAGCACTACACTCAAAAGCAGGGGACGTCATCCCCAACAATTGGTCAAGCTCTCAGGCTCTGGAAGAAGCAAGGACTGTATATCTGGATCCTCTCTCCGGTGTTGACTCACCACTCTGTGGCCCATCACACCTAGGAGAAATGCACTTTATCTGCCCTCAGCCTTCTTCCCACACCACACTGGCATTACAGCGCCAAGAACAAAGCAAGCAAAGAAGCCTAAGGGGCTCTTTGCAACTGTGAAATCCTTCAGAAACTGCAATGAAAACCACAGCAGCTGGTTTGTGAAGCCAGCCACATTTCCCTAGTGAGCAAGGTGGTGAAGACCCGCTTGCAGCAACAGTGGCTGAATACAGCCCCTCTCAAGGGACTGTGTTTAAAGGCAGGGGAACCCAAATTCTTGTTTGGTCATCTGGAGAAGGACTAGGGGTTGGGTGGGGATTTTCTTTTCAGAAGGTCCTATTATATTGTATGCACACACAATATGCAGAGCTCTTTGAAAACTGGACCAAACACTAGTGGCCACGAAGATGCTGAGCTTTCTTGAAACCCTGACTCATGAGCTATTTTAGGGCCAAATGCAGGTGCTGTAATAAAACCAAAGTTAGCAGCAAAACACCCAAGTTTGCTGTAGCATCGCTGTAGTGAAACTATGGCTCCCTGACTTGTAGTTGAAATGGATCAATGAAAAACATCCGATCTTGATGTAAAAAGTCCACATGATGAACAATAATATACATATACTTGGCTGACTGCTTCCAGTACCTGACTGGCTCAACTATAACATAAAATCATAGTTTAAAGGCACTTACAATGGATAACTCCTAAATGCATTATAAATAGTAATGGGTTTTGCTTCACAGTGTTCCCAGTAGACATGCCACATGTAACTATTTGTCTTTTGAAGACATAAAAAAAAACCAAATTGTTAAAAAGGTAGTTTATTTGGGGTGTTGGAAGTGTTGGCAGTCTAACTTCAGCTTCCTAATACACCTAGCACTTCAGTTGTCAGTGGCTTCACTGGAGATGTGGACACAAGCAACTTCTGCAGATCCCAGCACGTAACTGTGCATGCTCAGGAAAGGAAGAGAAAAACAGAGAAATTAAATGTTTAAAACGCTAATCTAATTGCCAGGGTCACAAGTTCACATGAAGTCATCGCCTGCTCCTTTCTCAGACTCGGCTCTCCCGGAGGCCGTGTCTCAGGCCCCGTTCAGACCTCTCTGGGAGACCCTTCGGTACTGCCGTGCCCCGGTGAAACCCACCAGCGGAGCGGTGCCGCGTCCCCAGGGATAGCTCCAGTAGGCTCACAGAGTAATTTTTTCTCCCGGTGGTGCCAATGGAATAGGCAGCTTGCATCCAGGCGCTCTACCTCTACTCCGTAAACCGTGACAGGATGCTACAGAAGCAGCCCCAAGGCAGAGGACGTTCTTCCCCCCACCCCACAAGATAATAAATGCGGGAGCTGTACACGTTACGCGCTCCCCACCACTCAAGCTCATGTACGCAGAACGCTGCTCAGAAAGGGGCTGTGGGAGCAGCTCCTGTCGCCCAGAGGCTGTGGCGGGGGCCCGGGCTGGGCCGCAGCGGCCTCCCCGGCCCACGGGTGCTGCGGCGGGGCCGGGCGGCGGGGCGGTGTTGGGAGGCCGGCGCGGCTGCAGGCACCGCCCGCCGCAGCACAAAGGATGACCGGTAGTTACCCCGCGGCGGCGGCGCTCCCAGCGCAGCGCGGAGGGGCCGCCGCCGCCGCTGCTTTCCGCTGCCTCGGCCAGACCCGCGGTCGCACCGCACTGCACCGCACCGCACCGCACTGCACCGCACCGCGCCAGGCCAGCCCAGCTCAGCCCAGCCCGCCTCTGCCGCAGGCGGCGCGGCTGCTGCGGCTTCTCCCGCCCGCACCCGTGCCGGTGCCGTGCGGCGGGTCCCGGCTCCTCCCCAGGTACTCACCGCTCCGGGCGCCGCAGCCCCGGCCCCCCACGGCGCTGAGCCCCCGCCGTCAGGCAAACCCGCGGCGCTGCTCCGCGCCCCGAGAGCTGCTGCAGGCTCCGATATCCACCTGCTCCCGGCTCCGCGCAGGGTGCCCCACCAACTCAGCCTCGCCCCTGCCCGCCGGCCCGGGGCTTATTCTCTGCAGAAGTGTGGCACCGGCCGCGGGCCTCTTGTCCCCCGGGCAGCTCGTCTGCTGCACCGCCTTGTCTCCATTCCCTGCAATTTCAAATCTCCACGCTCTTTCATTCCTGCGATACCGGCTAATTCTGGTTTGGCAGAGGAGATTGGCAATCCTCTCACAGGCACACTCTTGTGGCTGAATGAAGTTTATTGCTGCACAGGTTATCGCTGGAAATCTACATCTGAGAGAGAGGATATAGTCCAATACAATCAGCCAGTATCAAGATTTTAATGCCCTTTGGATTGTATTTACTTCAGAGAGGCTGGTTGAGTTTATGTAGTCAAACCACCCTAAGAATGAAGCTTGAAAGCTTTATGGTATAGTACCTTATTTGTGCAAGAAATAAGCTTCAAAAATATTCCCCCCTTAGGAGCAGAGTAGCAGAAATATGCTCCTACTTTTTCCAAAGCAGCATCCAGACCCCAGTTGTATATTTCTGAACAATCTGACATTAATGAGGTACACATTTTGCAATACATTCTTTTGACTATTTGCAGATAATTTACCAAGCTAAAGTGATTGGATGCCACTGTACAAAACTTTCATCACCAGAGAATCTGTGTCCTACAGCACGACACTGAGTAGCATAAATAAAGGC